GCTTTGACAGCTGTCTGATAGACTTTAAAAAATGGGGTGGGGGATTGATTGTTTTATGCTCCTCAACTTCTGGACAATCCAACTAAAACACGAAGAGAGCGTGCCAGCTCCTGCATGTCTCCATTGTGTGAGTATAGATGTGAACATAGATGCAGGAAAATTAATCCCAGCAGTGAACATGGATTTGTTTCCCAAGTAGAAAGGAATTCACAGCTTCGAATGAATGAATGAAAGTAGAGAATAATAATAAAAAATAATCCTCCTGGCCAAAATAAATAATTTGATGAAACAAACGGATGGAATTGTAAGGAGGAAACAAAACTCTCCTTTTAAGTCTTAAAAACAAAACCGCTTCTGTTGTCTTTGATCTGATTTAAGTTGTACTAAAGGTCAATGAACATTGGAAGAAGTATTTCTAAATACTGTACTCAATGGGTAAAAAGAAACATGACAGTTTGGCCTTATTGTACATAACACATCACACAATGATCTCACCAAAGTCACCAGCTGGGGACTTGCAAACCACATTTACCAAATAAGGCAAAAATGCTTCGTGCCTGAAATCCTTTCCCAGTTACCTCACCCGGCTTTTGCTCGGGTTTCTACAGTAATTGCAGAGGTCATTTTTTTTAAACTCAGATGGAGTAAATCAACAGGCTATCCAATGCAAAGCTGGGTTTGTGTAGTCTCTGGAGAGAGCTCAGCTTTATTTAAACTGAGTGTGTACAGAAAAGGAAGAACTGAAATATGTGCAATAAAAACAGAAGAGCGAGTAGTGTAAATTGAGAAGAGCAAGTGATGTTGGATTGTGTATTCCTGGTTTGATTACAAACACTAATGTTTTATGGGGAATGCTCCTCAAATTTGTTGGGTACCTTCAGGTTTTTGAAGTGCATGTGAAATCAGTCTTTAATGTTGTTCTTGTGATGTTCTCAAAACACTTGAACTTTACACTCTGGGTTTATGCTTGTCCTTGTATTTGCAATATAGCTTTGTAACGTCAACAGGATATATTTTATCCTCCCTATTCTCTTTGATATGTGTGATTGTATCTTTTTGCCTAAACTTGATATGGTTTTGAAGAAAGAATATTCTCATTCTTTATATTAAACACAATAGGATAGACCTACATAGTTCATCACAGTAGTAAAAATCTTGCTAAGTTACTTATTATTAAAATAAAATGGTGATTGTCATAGTGAAAACTGTCATTAATTTATAACACTTCCTCTTTTTTTTTTTTTTTTTCTCCTGTGTGTGGTGGGGTGGAGGGGGGGATTGCTTGCTTGTATCTCCAGCTGAATTTTATCTAGTGTTCTAGAAAAGACAGAAAAAAGCCCAGTAAGCACTTTAAGCACTCACTCTCATAATCTTCCCCTCATCAGAATCTGACAGTAGTACCTAATATAATTTCCTGTTATGTATACTCGTAACACAACTATTTAATAAGTTTTCTTTCCTCCAAAAATTTGGAAACACAGCTTAACGGGGTACAAAAATTGATAATTTCAAAGTCCAATTAGAAGAGTCCAATCCAACACTCACCATGGCTTATGAAATACACGCTCACAGCGTAAGGCTCATCACAAAGAGCAGATGCTTGCAGCTGTAGCTACTGCTGAAATTACCAACGCAAAAGGCATATACAATTAAACTTGTGCTTCTATGCCTAATCTTTTTAAATGTTGGTCTGTAAAATCTTACGATGCAAATTAATTCACAGCTCTAGAAATATATAAGACATAACTATCAGCTGTCCTGTGGAATCTGCACCATCTCAGCCTCTCTTTGGAGAGGAACACATACACAGAAATGTTTGGGGTTTTGGGGGGGAGAAAGGGATGACAGAATCAGAAGCAAGTTTGGGTTTGATATGAATACAATTCTACACAGTGTTATAAGTTAATACCAGGGGAAAAAACAGCTCAAACCTGGTGTTTCAGAGCAAATAGTAACAGTTGATACATGGTCCATACAGCTAATGTCTTCAGAGAAGACCTCAAATAAAAAGTGACATTCTCAGTGTCCTGTGAAACTTGCTGTTGAAGCCCAAGCAACAAGAAAGCCTCTACATTTTTTGTTTGCCTGTCAGTTCAGGTGATCCTGGAGGAGTTCAGAGAGCCAAATCTCTGTGCAAACCTTCATTAACTGTAGATAAATAACTACCAAGCTCAACTCATCCCGTATTTATAAGAGTTCATAAATGCTCGACGGTTGAGCCCGGTGAACAGAAGTGGAGGTAAGCGATCAAGACCATGTTCTCTGCTAAGAATGTTTCAGACAGCCCAAATTTGTATTCTATTTCATACTGATCTCATTATTCCTAGATCACACATTGCTATTTTGTAATTACTAGAAAAACAGTGTTAAATGTAATTAATCTCTCACTTCTTTGTGTTGATTCCATTTAGTTAAAGGCCAACTGTAATTGCTTCCGCTGACAAAAATGAATTCAGAGGCAAATGTTTGTATCACGATCTGGGTTACGCAGGCGATCTGAAATCTCTCATTTTTGAGCTTGACAGTTGAACTTCATGATCAGTGCAAGAAAATACAAGTTTATTTGACACTTTCTAAGACGATGAGCTGGGAAAACTTTCTATATGGTATCAATGTGTCAAGCCAGTATCCTGGACTGCCCCAAACACACACAGAGCTGCATAAGAAAGTGCATTAGACACTGGGATGAGTTAGCCGAGCCAGGCTCTCTCCTGAACTCATTCAGTAGACTCTTGTGTGCCCATAGACAAGTCAAAACGATCACTGTTTCCACAAATTCTATAAGGTGGGCAAACGCCCATATTTTATCTGGAAGGGGTATGGAAAAGTAACCAGCCATTGTGATATACTAAACAGAGAGGACTCAACCTGTCCTGTAGTGCCCTGCCTTTAATGTTAGATACTTGCTGATTCAAAAAACAAATGGGTCTTCTTCAATTAGATCATTAAATATGCGTTGACAACTACTGAGTACTATCTTCAAAGGAGAGATGAGTGTCCTATACAATTCTGCAGAGAGCCCTGCAAATTGCCTGTGGATCATCTCTCTGATGTACCAGGACAGTCAATAGTACGGCTTTCAAACAGGGCTCCTGCAGAGAAGAGTGAGATCCCTTAACTATATGAACGTGAAATGAGACGGTAACACAAAGAACTGAACCATGCAACTAGAGCCTACCAAAAACTAAAAATAATTTTGCTCTGGGATTAAATCATGATTTGTGCATCATGGTAAATAAACTCCTGGCCCTGCATCTCACAGCAGCATAGGGGTGGGACAAGAGAAGAATGCAGTTGTACACAAAAACATATCAAGTAAGAGGGTAAAGAACATCCATTTCAGAGAAATCTGACCTCAAGTTCACAGCACAAATTCTTCTCAAACATTTACTTGGTTCCTGTGCGGAAGAAGTCTCATCTGTTTGCTATGCATTCACAATAGCAGTACAAAAAATACAAACCTTTGGTCTCTCTTTCCAATAGCTCTGTTCTTCTTCTGAGGCTGGCTGAGTACAGCACAAGTGCAACCTCAGCTACAACATCAGAGATATTTTTTTCATACCCGTCTAGCCTTACAAATGGAAAATTTCCCAGAAAATTTTATGAGTGCTAATACAAGATGCAAAATGCTTCGGAACTAACATATTTATGTAGACGGGGGAACTGTTATTAACCATACCTCTAACTGACAGCCTTTGTGCATCTCACAGAATCACACAGAATCGCAAGGGTTGGAAGGGACCTCGGGAGATCATCTAGTCCAACTCCCCCTGCTAAAGCAGGCTTTCCTAGAGCATTCTACACAGGACTTCGTCCAGGAGGGCTTTGAATATCTCCAGAGAAGGAGACTCCACAACCTCCCTGGGCAGCCTGTTCCAGTGCTCTGTCACCCTTAGAGTAAAGAAGTTTTTCCTCATATTCAACTGAAACCTCTTATGTTTCAGTTTGCACCCATTGCCCCTAGTCCTGTCGCTGGACACCACTGCAAACAGACTGCTTCCATCCTCATGACTTCTGCCCTTAAGATATTTGTATGTGTTGATAAGGTCCCCTCTCAGTCTTCTCTTCTTCAGGCTGACCAAGCCCAACTCTCTCAGCCTTTCCTCATAGGGGAGGTGCTCCAGTCCCTTTATCATCCTAGTTGCTCTCCTCTGGACTCTTTCTGAACTGCTGTTCCTCATCTTTCTTGAACTGGGGAGCCCAGAACTGGACACAGTACTCCAGGTGGGGTCTCACCAGGGCAGAGTAGAGGGGGAGGATAACCTCCCTCGACCTGCTGGCCACACTCCTCTTAATACAACTCTCTGAGTTTGTGATCAAAGCAGTCACTGATAACCACTTAAGACTCCAGGATCAGACTGAAAATAGCTCTTCTAGACTACCAGTTCATTTCAACGTCTTTTTCCTCAATATATCTGATTTCCTGGGACGACTACTGAACCCTGGTGTAGACAACCTGCACCATTTCTCTAACACAGGTGTAACACTTAACGCCAGAGAACTGGCTTAGATCACCAACTGGAGCACTTCCACCATGGGAAAATCTCTGGACAATATGTATATGAATCACTATAATGTAAAGTGGACAGGGAAAGCAGAGATGGAAAAAGAGTATGTCTAAAGCACACTGACTTCTTTTGGTCTTCATATAACAGCCACTTCAGGGCCACTACACCCACAGCAGCTGTTTGAACTCTCTGTGTGGTTCTGGGTTAACCCAAGACACAATGTAATATGAATGCAGACATGAGAAGAGGAACAGAACTTGACATGGAGAATGTGCAATAGTAGCAAGAGCTGTACCCTATGCATATAATCAGTTTCCATTTCTAAATCATCTTCCCTGAAGCAAAGAATTCAGTACAATTTGCTAATACATTAATGAAGATGGCATCAAGTATGTTTAAATACAAATGCCTGTTTTCAGTCCAGCCTTCAAAATACACTGATAAACTCAAATAAACATGAAATGAAAAAGAATTGTTTCCACAGCCACTTACTTTTGCTGCTCCTATTTGCTCTTTACGAAACTTCTCCAGCGGTGCTATTAGCACATCATTAGCATTCTGGATCTGCAAAGTTAAACATAGAGCATATCTTTTTAATACAGAGTATTTGCAGAAAGTGGAGCCACTGTAGCTCTGCCAATGTGCAAGACTGAAAAATTCATGTCCATAACATTCTGGTAAAAGCATATGGGTAGGAGTCAAATAATTCTGTCTTCTTTACATAAAACACACAACACACATGTTATCTGGTCTATTATGGAACATTTCTATGAATAACTAAAAAAATTGTAATGAATGATGTAATAAGTTTATCTGCAATATATAGAAGGGTTGTCTGGTATTTTACTTCCATTTCTTGCATCTTGCCTAAAACCAGAATAGAAAACAAAAACTTCCAGGAACATGTTTTAGCAGAACAGAGAAGACAAACATATTACTGACAGCACTGCCTAAAAAAGCCTGTGTTTACAGAATCTGAATCTTTGACAGCTGAATATTTTCAGCTAACTCTTTGGACTATATGCCTAGTTATACCGAACTGAGGAGAGTAAGGCAGAGTACTCTAAAAAGAAAAGTGGACAATTTACAGAATACTCCAGGTTGGATTCCTTCACTTTTCAAACTTTTAAACTAATATAAGATGTCCTGCAGCTATTTTTATCACTTTAACCTAAACCAGGGTTCCTAATGAATCACAGTTTTCCCCTCATGGCCTCTGTTTATTTAGTATAAATCCAGTCCTGGGAACCCCTCTCTGAAGACCATTCCCAGCAGCGACCACCCGAAGTGGTCCCTAGTCATCTGGGCTGGAAACACACATCCAGCAGAATATAAATGCCAGCCATGCCATTGTGCCACTTGCTAAAACAAGGTAGCATGACTTCACCTTATGCCTTTTTGGGGCAGGCAGAATAACCAAAAAATTGATTTTACTGCAGAAAAATCAAAAGAAACAGAAACTGCCAACACATCAGAAATAAAGCACAATAAAACACATTACAATATTCTATTATACTAACTACAGGCAACATTTTAGTTTTCTGCATGAATAGGTTTTTTTCTCCTCACCAGTCCAGTCTTTACCATACTCATCACATTCCGCATTTGGGCTTTGGCAGGTTTGGAGGTCTGGGCAAAGCTAACATGTATCTAAGCCAAATGTGAATGAATACAGCTCTTGTGACTCTTTCATAATAACTGATAAGTTACATTGTCAGTTGAGCACAAAAACTTCCCAAAAGGCTGTAATAATAAACATATAGAATAAACCTCTTGAAACACAAATGCATTTTCTTTCCTCCCAAACCTAACATTACAATTTGAAAGACCACAGAATGACCACATATCTCTCAGAAAGGCAGAGTTTCAGGAAAAGTTGAGATTCTCTCTGACATGCTAAAGCAAAGAAGTCCAAGACAGCAAAGGCAACACTTGGCACGCTCTATGATGCAGTGATCAAAACGGGCTACATTTAAAGATAAAAATCAGGCCATAAGGACGAGTGTTTTCACTGCATTCAACATGCTCCATCACTTTGACTAGAACAGACTACAAAGCTATGTTATTCTCCAAGTGGACATTTCTCCCAATATATAGACTTTTAGGCAACATCTAGCAATCTAACTGAGACTCAACACTTTCTACAAGGCAAAGTGCACGCACTTAAAATATAATCTCTATCCCAAGGAACACTGAGCAAGGCAGATTAAAATTAACAGGGGTACAACATGATTAAATGACTTGCTCACAATCAGGCAGAATTGCAGTGCATTCGTCTGGAACCAGTAGCTGGAAGTTTTGATAGCTTACAGAGCATGCATGTGGCTTTTGGCACACACAGAAATCACAAAGGCTTGCTGGACTCACTGGTACAGAAGTGTGGATGCACCTTTTCTTTCTTTTTTTGTGTAGAAAAGTAAGTTTTTTCTCTGCCTTTTAGTCATTGCTATACAAAGCAACAATATATTAAACACCTCACAGTTCAATTAAGAGAGGCATTCATGTTGTTGAAGTAGTTACTACTGGTATCAGCAATTGCTGCTAATCCTGTTGCTAGTAATTGCCAGTCAAACTAACTCCACGTGGGGCTGAACATGGCTCTTCCATTTGCTCAACGCTGTCATGTTTAGGCAGCCTCCACACCACACTGGGAGACCTCACAGAATCACAGTTGGAAGGGACCTCGGGAGATCATCTAGTCCAACCCTCCCACTAAAGCAGGTTCTCCTAGAGCATGTTACACAGGACTTTGTCCAGGTGGCCTTTGAATGTCTCCAGAGAAGGAGACTCCACAACCCCCCTGGGCAGCCTGTGCCAGTGCTCTGTCACCCTCACAGTAAAGAAGTTCTTCCTCATATTCAGCTGAAACCTCTTGTGCTTCAGTTTGTGCCCATTGCCCCTTGTCCTGTCGCTGGGCATCCCTTCGTGTATTGCCCTTTTGACAGCCTTAAAATGACCGCAACACAACTACTGCAAGCCTCACTCAACGCTGCTGCAATGCAAATGAAATATCCTGCTTCCAACACTAGAAGAACATAGAATCATAGAATCACTTCGGTTGGAAAAGACCTTTAAGATCATCGAGTCCAACCTTTAACCTAATCCTGCCATCCTACCACTAAACCATGTCCCTAAGCACCTCATCTATCCTTCTTTTAAATACCTCCAGGGAGGAGGACTCGACCACCCCCCCGGGCAGCCCATTCCAGAGCTTGAAAACCCTTTCGGTGAATAAGTTTTTCCTAATGTCTAGCCTAAACCTGCCCTGGCGCAGCTTCAAACCATTCCCCCATGTCCTATCACCCTTTACCAGGGAGAAGAGACCGACCCCCACCTCGCTACAGCCTCCTGTCAGGCAGTTGCAGAGGGCGATCAGGTCTCCCCTCAGCCTCCTCTGCTCCAGACTGAACAACCCCAGTTCCCTCAGCTGCCCCTCATAAGACTTGTGCTCTAGACAAGGAAGCTCTGTTCCTAGGAAGCACTGAGAGGAGTCATCTGAGAAGTAAGCGGCTTTGCTGGGCTGAAGCACGATGTTACTCACTCCCTCAGTTATACAGGCAACTAGGAATGGACAGTGGGTATGGCAAGGCTAATTAAAAGATGTCATGCACTTAATCTAGATAAGGTCTGTGCCTTTGAATAGATCTGCTGAGCCACATCGACAGAATATGCTGCAAGCTCACCCCTGGGCTGAAAGCCTCTACTGACAAGAGCCCTGAGGTGGCAGTTCACCTCCCTGCAAAGTTAGGAGCCAGGCAAGTAACAGGCTTTGCTTTTGGGGAGGGAGAACACACCAGCAAGGTACCAGAGAGAATGCCAGCAGGATCATTTCACCGGCTGGTATTACGAGATGCAGAATGGTCAGCTGTGAAAAGACTCCTGCTGATTTCCACCAGGCTGTACCTAGCACTTGGAAACTGAAAATTACAGAGGAAGAAGAATGCCTTACGCATGCATTTATTCATTTCCTTTCATTGCCGACTCCTATCGCTGCAATTGCTTTACATTACAGCTTCCTTGTCAAGGGTTAGAAATTGGCATACAGCCCCTTCCTCCCCCCCAAATTAGGGATCTAATCCTCCCACGACCATTTCTACAGAAATTTGATTGCTTTAGATAATGTGAAATTTTCCCTGTGTCGTCCTAACAGAGTAACTTTCTTCCTGCCAAGATGATAATCCCTCTCCTACTCAGTGATTGCGCTAGGTTGAAATCACAGCCGCTTGGAGCAGGCAAACAATGTCAAAGAGACTGTAATGGTTTCTGTAAATAGCAACTTCAGAAATCCATGTCGTGTTTAAAATGCAGATCTTATCCTTAAAGGCTTATTCAGATTAGTCACACCTTTAGAGAAGTTATGCCTTCTTGAGCCAATAGTCACTGAATACTACACAGTTCCAGCTCTCAGCATGGCTAATATGTGGCAGTCAATCAAATAATGTGATCATTTCTCTCATTTGGCAAAAGCACCAGTCTTCCTCCAGAAAAAGAACAGAAAAAAAAAAGAATCATGCAGTTTTAACTCAGTGTCAGTTCATCAGTCTTTTTTTAATTAAGATGCTAGACATGTATTAGGCAGACATAATAGGAAAATATTACTTTGACAACTGAGAGGGCTGTATTAGATCTAGTAAAAAAGAATCAGATTTTTCTAAAGGACTTAATCAAGTTTTTAACTTTGGTATGTATAACTCTCTCTATTTAGCATTATTGATAAAACTACCATTAAAACAAGTACCACCAAAATCACACTGAATTTCTAAAAAATACTTGAAAAAAAATATTTAAAAAAATTGAAAATACTTTTTCTAAGACAGCTTTGGCAGTTTAGGAGGTCATTCTCTGCATAACTGCAAGATTTCAGTGGCTCTGACAGCCTTTGAGCCAATGTGGTGAAGCACCTTAATTTGTCTTTTCTGATTCACAATCTTCCACCTTTCCAACCCACCCTCCTCCCTTCCAGAAGTTAGCTGTGAAATTGAATTAATGTATCAATAATGAGATTAAACCGTGGTTTCCACACATCACAGAGAAACTCCACATATATACTTGGAGAAATTGTTGACTAGCGATTTTTTAAACTTTTCTTTTTTACTAAAAGTTTCCACCTTCAGTAGAATGAAGAAAAAAATTCAGCATCCACTAACGTATCCTTATGAGAATCAAATTTATTACACTGTTAGAAAGAGAAGAGTAATTTTTTTGTAAACATATCTGAACATTTCCATTTCTTAAATTTAAGCCAAGGTTAATTTTTTGAATGTTTTCCCATTAGTTTTCTAGCCCTGAATTTAGGATAGTGTATGATATGCAGACTGTATATGCATCATTCTTCTTCTTTTACTTAGGTAGGACCAGGGGATATAAACACAAATTTAACTAAAACATTGATGCAGCTGCTTATTCATTCTTAAATACTAACAATATAGAAACAGACATTTTAAGCTCTGTAGCACTTTAGAAGCTTCAAGCTTCACCTGGAGATCTACAACGTAGAATTGCAGTAACAAGAACAGTTAATACCTTTTGCACTCTATATTATTATTTGTAGGGTGAAGGTCTAG